GCACAACTGTAAAGCAAGATACAGACTTAACAAGTGGACACAATGTTTTGCAAGATATAAAATCAGTGAGTGGACACAGTTTGAGTTAAAAGTACAATATTAATAACAAACTTTGGGAAAGAAACCAAAATGATCACATACATCGGAACTCAACTTTCTGCAGAGGATTCAAAATTTTGAAGATGCAACTATGGCGGTCTCAGCCCCACATTCTGATTGGCAGTTTTTTCTTCCACAAAAGCATTTTCAAACACTGAATGGAAGGACCTCCAGAATTTTTCCTTGAAATCTTGACCCACAAAGACGTAAAGAATAGGATTAAATACAGCTGTTGATATACATCAGGCTTCTCGCTAAGGAATATCCAACTGCTAACTACATGATTTAGGTGTTTGTCCTTGGTAAACTTCACAGACAGCGCCAGGAGGGCAAAACCTGATATGGAAACCAACACCACAAAGAAGGAAATGATGACAGCTACAATAATCTTGAAAGGCTTGCTGCTCTTAGCCACGTAATCCCTTTGGATACGTAAAGTGATTACTAATGTAACAAGACACAATGAATGCTGAAAGGGATAACAAAAGTGATGATGAATCGTGTAACCAATAAACCCATTTGTCTTGATAATGCAACTGTAGACCTCCAGTTATCCCCATCAAACTTATAAATACATTTAATACTCTTGTATCTCGAAATATAAAGAAAGGTGAACTGAAAACCAAAGCTAGGATCCATATAGCTAGAACAACAAAGGACGCCATTCTTAGAGTTCGGTGGTTCCTACACCACACTGGATAAACTATGGAAATACAGCGATCAATACTGATAACAGCAAGTTGCAGGACGCTAGCATACAAGTTCAGATTAATGAGCATGGTGGTTGACTTGCACAGGTACCTCACAAATGGCCAGTGATGACCAAGGGCTGTGGGGGCAATTGTGAAAGGCGAAAATAAAATCGGCTGTGGCTAAATTTAAGTGCCACAAAACATTGACCGTCTTCTTCATCTTCAAAGTTGTAATCCAGATAACCAGTCCATTGCCTGAAGTCCCCAGAAGAAAAGTCACAGCAAAGATTATAATGGAAAAAATCCAAAGAATCTGCTTTTTTCTTTGAGTCATAATTGTTGAGGGGTTGGGTGAAATTCTTCAAAATATAGGGCTGAAAAGTGTTCTTATTTTCCATCTCTCATTAATATTAAAGTTAGGAGATCCAAGGACAATTCTAGAAATATAATGTACAGGAAGATGAATCAATTTCTTTAGCATAAAAACATTATAAAACAATAGGATAGCTGTAATACTGGATAAAAATTGATATCAAAGCAGCTTGGATACAAACTAAAGTATGGGTTTCTCTTAAAGTGATTCAAAAGGCTTTTTTTTAAAATAACAAACATGTCCAGTAGCGGACTGACAACTCATGGGGCCCATGGGGCAACAGGGGATCATGGGGCCCCTGTGTCCTTGCCCAAACTCAAAAAAGCCTATGAAAAAGGTACCAGGGGCATCTCATGGGGCCCCCTACTGACCCCGGGCCCTCGGGCAGTACCCGAGTTTCCAAAAGGTCAGTCCGCCCCTGAACATGTCATTACTTACCTGCTGTGTGTAGTGGTTTTGCACAGAGCAGCCCAATCCTCCTCTTATCAGGTCCCCTGCTGCACTCCTAGCCCCTTTGTCCTGTTGGGTGCCGCTATGGGGGCACTCGCTGCTCCGTGTGTCCATTCACACACGGAGCCGCGCCTCAGCCCTGCTCCCACGCTCTTCTCATTGGCTCACTGACTGTGATTGACAGCAGTGGGAGCCAATGGCTCCCGCTTTTGTCTCAGTCAGTGAGGTGAGGGAGTCCCGGGATAGCCGAGACTCCAGTGCACATCGCTGGGGACTTTGTTGTCTTTTTTTCCAACAGTGGGACTTTGCGGGGGCTTCTTGCAGATAGCTTGGCTTCACATAGGCATATTCTAATTGTAACAGTCCTCACAGGTAACTTTAGACCTTCTATGATCTTCCTGGAGCTGATTGTTGGCTGAGTCCGCGCCATTTTGGCTATTCTTCTATCCATTCGAATGGTAGTTTTTCACTTTCTTCTACGTCTTTCAGGTTTTGGTTGCCATTTTAAAGCATTTGCGATCATTTTAGCTGAGCAGACCGATCATTTTCCTGCACTTCTTTATATGTTTTTCCCCTCTCCAATCAACTTTTTTTAATCAAGGTACGCTGTTCTTCTGAACAATGTCTGGAACGACCCATTTTCCTCAGAATTTCAGAGAGAAATGCACTGTAACCAGCATGTACAACATTTGCTGCCTTCCTTCCTTAAATAAGGGCAATAATTGCCACCTGTTTTTTTCAAAGAATGAATGACCTCACTAATAGAACTCCACACTGCTATTATTTTGAACACGCCCCTTTCAATTAGTGATTCAATGACACAGAATCAGCAGCATGCATGTCATGACTGTTGGGTCTGTTGGATTTCTATTACTCAACTACACCTGCTAGTAAATTATTTTGCTATGTAGAAATATCATTTCTACCAAAAACAGTGATTAATCCGGTTAGTGATGTCTGACTGCTATTATTTTGAACACAACTGTATATACATATATATATATATATATATAGTATAACCATCTGAAAGTTACTTACCTGCTTCTGCTGTGTTCTGCTTTCTTTCTACTGTTCTTATTAACTGCAAAGAAATTTGCATCGACCTCTGCTAGATGAAAAGATTAGCTACCAAAAATCGTCGTTCATCAGAAAAACATTGTGTAAGCTGTTGAGTCACCACTTATCTTGAAGCAAACTTTGGTCTTTTGTTTTATTATTTTTAAAAAGAGCAGCCAGGGGGTTCAAAATTTTTTCAAAAGTAGCTCTAGCTGCAATACTCATCTTCTCTCTCGAGCTGCCCCATAGAAATTCTTTAATCTTTCATAGTCTTTCAGGTCACCATCTTCAACTCAGAAGACTGAGGACATCTTGTGAATGCAGGTAGTCATGGACCCTCCCATCTTGAGAGGCTGCCACTGTTGTGCCCTGCACTCACATACAATGGTACAGAGCGTTTTACTGACATCATCAAGTCAAACATACATACAATTCGATGAGAGCACCAAATAAAGGTCCAAATCCAAGGATTTTAATAATAAAAAATTTACAATTCAGAACGTTTCTTAAAATTAAACTTCAAAACAAATCCATCTGTTTTTTTTTGGTATTTTGGTAATTTTCTTTTTGAAATCTGGAGATACAAAAGCATAAAGAATAGGATTGACTGGACCACCCAAAGAAGCCAGAATTATTGTGATTGGCTGAACCATTTCCACAAGCCCAACCAGGTTTCTTTCTCCAGAAATAGGTAAGGAAAGTTTTATTAGGGAGAACACATGATATGGCAACCAACAAACACCAAATAATGTCTGAAAGGTAAAGATCATCTTTAGGGCTGGGGTGTATTTTGATGTCTTCTTCTGATGGTAAAACCATGGCCGTAATAATGAAACACAACAACATGATTAGGATTGGAATGCAGTATCCTAGAATGAATGCTAATATTGCTATGACCTTATGGCCAAGTATCCAGATATCAGTTATTTCAGCATCATCAAATCTATTGACACATTTCATTGTGCTATAACATTTGTAGGTGGTTTTGAAGATAAAATAGGGAATACTGACACAACCAGCCATAATCCAGCAAACGAAGACTTCTACCGAAGCCAAATGAGGTCTTCTGTAGACATTGTATTTTAAGGGCCAAATCACAACGAAGAAATAGTCAACACTATACAATGTCAGAATAAAAGCATTAATGAACATGTTGAGATGGAACATAAAGTTGTGTAGCTGGCACATGAAGGAACCAAAAGGCCAATTAATGTTCCAGGCAAAATAGACAATGTTTAGAAGTAGAAAAAATGACCAAATGAATCCAGAGACAACAAACTAAGGGACAGCACTGAACGTAATGTCTTCTCCAGTCTGTAGACTGTCATCCAGTATAACATATCCACTGGCTGTTATTCCAACAAGGAAATTCCAAAGAACAGATAACTGCTGAGGAAATGGTAATGTTCCGGGCAAGGTGGTTATCTTCTTTGGTGAGGTTGACACAATGTCCTTGGGAATCATCACTGGCTTCGAAGATAGAGGTCAAGTTGGAAATTAAAGATGTTTCTCCATTATAGCTGCATGGAAAAGTAACTGCTGTTTTCCTACAGAAATAAGACATGTATTATTATTATACAGGATTTATATATTATTATTATACAGGATTTATATATTATTATTATTATTATTATACAGGATTTATATATTATTATTATTATACAGGATTTATATATTATTATTATTAGTATTATTATTATACAGGATTTATATATTATTATTATTATTATACAGGATTTATATATTATTATTATTATTATTATTATTATTATTATACAGGATTTATATATTATTATTATACAGGATTTATATATTATTATTATTATACAGGATTTATATTATTATTATTATTATACAGGATTTATATATTATTATTATTATTATACAGGATTTATATATTATTATTATTATTATACAGGATTTATATGGCACCAACAGTTTGCTCAGCGCTTTACAATATAACGGGAGACAATACAGCAACAATACAGTTCAATACAAGAGGGAAAGGAGCTTATATATAAAATACATGACCTAATTACTGGACATACAGTAAATGCAACTCAATTCACTAAAGCGTATCTTAACCACAGAAAAAAATAATTCAATATATTGTGGCTGATAATTAGGTGTAGAGGCTGAATTAGGTTCCTTGTTCAGGCTTTTTTCCTTTATTTTTTGCATGGAGATTTTGCCAGCAACACATTTCCTGACACCACACACTCATGGTAATGTATCTATAGAAAATAAACTGAATGGTCCTCCTGCGCTCAGATGTAACCTCTGAATGAAGCTGCTAACACCCTACCACATACCAAAATGGACAATAATAAAATAAAATGATGTGGTGCTGCGCTTATATATACAATATACCAGAAAGAATAATAGAAATATAAATAAAATCTACATATATACAAAACCAATATCTAAGTGAGCTTATATGTGACTAAAATCACAAAAAATGAAATCATGACCTGGGCAGCACAGTGGCTAAGTGGTTAGCACACTTCCGCCTGCCTGTACTAGGGGGGGTCGTTGGTTCGAATCCCAAACCACGGCACCTCCTGCCTGGAGTTTGCATGTTCTCCCTGTGCCTCTGTGGGTTTTCTCTGGGTACTCTGGTTTCCTCCCACACTCCAAAGACATGCTGGTAGATGAATTGGCTCCTGTCTACATTGGTCTTAGTATGTGTATGTATGAATGTGAGTTAGGGACCTTAGATTGTACACCCCTTGAGGGTTAGGGACTGATGTGAATTTACAATATATATGTAAAGTGCTGTATAAATTGGCCCTAGTATGTGTATGTATGAATGTGAGTTAGGGACCGTAGATTGTACACCCCTTGAGGGTTAGGGACTGATGTGAATGTACAATATATATGTGTGTAAAGCACTTCATAAATTGATGGTGCTATATAAGTACCTGAAATAAATAATGAGCCAATAAACCCAAGGGTGATGATGGGAATGACCTCCCCACTTCTGTGCTAAATTGCACACACAAGGGAAAAAAGTGACATATAATATGTGCCAAACTGATAAATTCAGAAAGAAGAAAAAAACATAAATAAATCAGTAAATGATGAAATCCCCCCACTGTTGTGCTGAATAGCACAAATACACAAGTGATGTGAGAACATATCCACTATTATATAAGTGCCAACCTGGTATGTCCAGAAAACTAGCAAAAGAGGACAATCATTGCCCCATATGTGAATAATAGGTGAAAAACCACAAATATACCAAAAATTAAATCTGTTGATTTTTATTCATTTTTGGTATATTTGTGGTTTTTCACTTATTATTCACATATGGGACGATGATTGTCCTTTTTTGCTAGTTTTCTGGACATACCAGGTTGGCACTTAAATAATAGTGGATATATTCTCACATCACTTGTGTATTTGTGCTATTCAGCACAACAGTGGGGGAATTTCATCATTTACTGATTTATATGGTTTATTTACGTTTTTTTCTTCTTTCTGAATTTATCAGTTTGGCACATATTATATGTCACTTTTTCCCCTTGTATGTGCAATTTAGCACAGAAGTGGGGAGGTCATTCCCATCATCACCCTTGGGTTTATTGGGAATTATTGTCTCATGATTTCATTTTTTGTGATTTTAGTCACATATAAGCACACTTAGATATTGGTTTTGTATATATGTAGATTTTATTATATTCTATTATTCTTTCTGGTATATTGTATATATAAGCGCAGCACCACATCATTTTATTTTAATGTATCTGTAGAAAAGCAGCATTATCCCCCAAGGACTATGGGACACCTTTTCCCCTTCTCCATAGCAAATGATGTTCTATTGTCAAAGAAGAGAAATGGCTGATAACATTGGCCAAAGGCAGAATTGGGCAGAGCTAGTAACATTATTTATTTATTTTATTTATTTCAGGTACTTATATAGTGCCATCAATTTTCGCAGCGCTTTACATATATATATATTGTACATTCACATCAGTCCCTAACCCTCAAGGGGTGTACAATCTAAGGTCCCATACTTGAGATTTTAGTGCGTAGATGGCAGAGAGTAGTTACAAGTACATTGGACTTCTGGCAGGATCAACAGTTTTTTTTTTTATAACTTATGCTTTGGCGGTTTTACCACCTCACTTATTCACTTGATGATAGATATAATAGGTGATTACGACCTTTTGTCTATGTAAGAATCTTGCCAATCCTGATGTGGCTATTACCAATAAAGTTAATACCAAATGATAACAACTGTGCAAAAAATAAAGATCTAATTTATTTACACAGAAAAGAAGCTTGCTATTATTCAAATATAACAAAATGTAAAGTAGCTGGTCTAACTTTAAATGTAGTGATATTACAATCTAAATACTGAATGTTACCAACACATAGAAACAACTACAGAAAAGGAAGTTACAGAAAAAGGAAGAAGGAATAATGATGATCAGGGTGGACTGACAACTCCTGGGGCCCCCAGGCAATGGGGGATCATGGGGCCCCTGTGTCCTTGCCCAAACTCAAAAAAGCCTATGAAAAATTGCCAGGGGCATCTCATGGGGCCCCCTATTGACCCCGTGCCCTCGGGCAGCGCCCGAGTTTCCAAATGGTCAGTCCGACCCTGATGATGATACAATTACGTAGACAACCTTACGTTCCCATTATGCTCAGTGATCAAGAGGTCCAGAGAAGAGAAAGTGGAGGTCTTGCTTTTGCGTTATATACTCTTGCAAAGACCACCCCTAGACTCACCCATCAAGAGTTCACAATAATGTTCATGAAGATAAAAATTGTTGTAGGCCCAAGAAATCTATTACATTTCCCCCTGAAGTTCATTTGTGAACTTTAATGCTCTCCCTCAGTGATTTTGTACCCACTCATGACAGCCCAGAAGGCCCCAACTCCGCCGCACACCACCACCACCACCACTACCACTGCAGTCTCTTCTTTCTTGAGCATGACAGAACATCTGTTCTGATGAACACGTCAAGATAGACTTGAGCCTGAGCAAACAGAGAAGTCCTGGTGCCTCCGAGACCTCACATCCGGACCATGAATGCCTGTGCTGTGATGTTTCCTCACCCCTCTGCCTTGGAAGGATGGAACTCCAACATCAATGGCGGCATCCTGGTATCATTAGTTCCGTAGCTTGGGAACACTGTGCGATGTTTGCAAAGATTGGATCAGACCACGAGATAGCACTGTTTAACATGGTGGAAGGTATTTGAGGAAGGTCTAGCTGTTGTACCTTTGTCTCAAGAGATGATGTAGTGGTGTTTGTTGTTTCTTCAGGTGGTGGTGGGGCAGGCCTCCGGACAATCATACAGGGATACAAAAGAGAAGGAAAATGTCAGTATGGTTATCGGGGAAGTCAAGATTGGAGCAGCTTTTTGCATTTAAAGGTTGTTAAGCATAGAGGTCCTAATGTGGGCAGGTAAAGTAAGATCCACACAGGATACAGAGTCTGAGCAACAGCTGGTATTTACCAGAGCCGCTGTAGGGATGGTCGATACTGCAGGCTATTGCTACATCTCAGTCTCTGGGTTCACCCCACCTGCTCACGGGGCTCAGGTTGAAAGCAGTAGGCAGACTGAGGGATGTCCGCAGGAAGCAATTATAAGCCGATTGATCTCCACCAGACCCTTGAAGCCGAGTCGAGCCAGAATGCCAAAGCCTTATAATTCAGTTTATAATAGTTTTAAGTTATGCAAAAAAAGTATATGCTACTGGAGCATACTGTAAGAATATTAAACAAGGAAAAAGAAAGAGGGAACAGTAATAAAGCAAAAACAAAGAAATGAAAGAAAATAAAAAAGGTACAGATTTAATGCTGCTTCAACTACGACTTTTACTGTATGTATTTCACTTTAGGTTGTTAACCTCCCTGGCGGTATTCCAGCTCGGGGTAAAGTTTCAGTACCACAAGCGGTAACCCCGAGCTACA